ATTGGCCCAAAAACGTATATAAACTAGTTCGGCAATGCGCGAGTAAATGTGCGTCTAAAAATCTCTGAGATCAGAATTATAACGGTTCTTTGGTGAAACATAGGCGGACGCGATAAATTGTGGTAGATTGTAGGGAACTCAAGTCAAATTTATTTTTTTCCAGTCAGTAAAAGACAAATATCGTTCAGAAAATAAGGAAAAAATTATATTTACATTACTGGGGAAGCCGCGGGGAACCAAAACTGGTTATCGAGCAGCGACACCCGAGGCTCTAACAACTAATTCGACAAATTGGGGAGAAGAGTTTCAAAATTACTGATATTAATGGTAAATACTGTATGAATTTTGCGTGCGATACTTCCGGAATAGTATGATAGGTTCTAAATATACATAAATTTGAAATTTTATTCGGTATATTCCAACGGCGTCTTTTTTATTTTTGGTTCAATGTTAACATATCTCACAGATTGCTCCATTATTAATTCGAAAGTAAAACAGAGTCTGAAAGTAAAATAGAAAAAAAACGTGTACGGGGTCACATGCTATTAAGGGTACTCCAGAAGTATGTGCACCAAGATGACGGACACCGGAACGTCGTATGCGTACCAGGTTAGGCCATAATTTCAGGTACAAATACTATGGGAATCACTTGGCTAGTCACCGAACTTGTAATAGTCCTAAAATAAGAAAAATTGAAATAAAATTATGGCCTAACCCTAACCTGGTACACAAACAACGTCCCGGTGTCCACCATCTTGGTGCACATATATACTTGTGGAGCGGCATATGAAGTGCTTTATATTATGCTAGAATTTCTTGTAGTTCTCTGTTTGACTGCTTTGAACGCTCCGAAATTATGTATGAAACGTCTAAATCCGATAATATTGCAATACGAAAATATTCATAATATGTGGAGGCGGTGTGGACAAAAATACCAAGTCTACTCGTAGATTTTAGACACGTGCGCGAATTAACAAAGCGCTTTCGCAACTGATCAAAACCTGAGGTGTGATTACGCCGCCTGGCAACCGCCTGGCAATCAATACCATACTTGACAGTCACATAATTAAGGGCCAATTGCCAAATAAAGCAACTTTGCATTGTATATTCGATAACTTAGTGACTACACCGGTACAAAATAACAAACCAACATAATTTCTCGCAACCTGGCAAAAAATCCGGTTCGCGTACCAGCGGATGGGATCACTGGTTTAGCATGCAGTTACTCATGAATGAAAAGATGAGCCCCAAGGACAACTGCTCATTCGGATGTAACCTGTTCAGAAAAGCTACAAAAAGAAAAATACTATTGGCGCTCGTGACACTGTCACTCAATTGCATTTACTAATACCCGCCGACCAGCACAAATTTCAGTGCTCCCGAAGTATTCGTACCAAGATGGCGCACAACCTAAATATAGTATGGGTACCAGGTTAGGTTTGTTCAGTTTGTGCGTCATCTTGGTACGAATACTTCCGGAGCGCCCAAATTTCACTTTCCAGTCGCTTGTGTGCGCATGTTTAACAGAAATTAGGCCACCCCGGAAAATCTGCACGCAACCCCACCCGGGATCGCGACCCACAGTCGTAGACTAACGGAATTTTGCAAATATTAAATAGACCTACCCACCCGAGTCTTTATTTTCTATCCTGGTAATAACCTCATTCCCATTAAGGTTTCTCATAAGTGAAGCACTCATTTCAATCACTATATGATGACACGACACACCAACACCCAATAACGACGGGCTTCGACGGCGGCGCCTGCAGAAGACAACCTCCAACAAATGCATATGACGTCATAATATCGTATGAAACGTCATGATAGCGTATAAAAACTTCATAATAAGTGCATAATATTGAGAAGGTTGCAAAATTGCATAAGTCACACCCGTGACTTCTCTCAGCAAAGCGTTTTTACCATCCGTTTAATAACAAGAGAGCTATGCTCAAATACATGGACACGTAGAGTCACATAATTTTGATGACGTCATAGCGAAATAAAAAGTAATAGCCTTCTGGAGAAAATTTTTATCTTTAACCACTAAAAATTTCAAAGCAATTGGTCCAGTATTCGAAGAGAAAAGCGACTTTTTAAAAACGTGACTTTTTAAAAGCGGTACTGAGTTAGCAGTCAGGCAGCATCTTACCTGTTCACTGTAGGCCATATACGATAATTGATCACAGAACAGTTGTTCCCTTGCAAATTTTATGTTGCTTACACTTTAGGACAGATAATTGATCACAGAACAATTCTTCCCTTTCAAATTTTATGTTGTTTCCAGTAGACTCTCATCAAAATAAACAAATATAGTAGGCTACAAGTGCTACAACGCTTGCATTACTGCACTGGTAGGACCGTGAAAGAATAAGTTACGGTAATTTCATTGTGGTAAGACACCGGTACCGGCACCAGTACCGTACTTACGTACTGAGCTACCAGTACCGGTTAGCAGTCAGCCAGCATCTTACCTGTACACTGTAGGCCATATACGGTAATTGATCACAGAACAGTTGTTCCCTTGCAAATTTTATGTTGTTTACACTTTAGGACAGATAATTGATCACAACAATTCTTCCCTTTCAAATTGTATGTTGTTTCCAGTAGACTCTCATCAAAATAAACAAATATAGTAGGCTACAAGTGCTACAACGCTTGCATTACTGCACTGGTAGGACCGTGAAAGAATAAGTGACGGTAATTTCATTGTGGTAAGACACCGGCACCAGTACCAGTTTCGTACTTACGTACTGAGCTACCAGTACCGAACATGTAGGTCTGATATTCCGTTCCGCATACGATAGGCTATAAAACTTGCATTGCAGCATTAGTAATACCGCGGAAGGAATAAGTCAATTTCACTGCGTTACGGTACCTACCGGTATGGCAACTTACCAGTACCGACCTACAGTAGCTGTAGTACTGAGCAAGACAATCGATCGCGAAACCGCTTGAAATAAGTGTAAAACAGTGTTCCCATGAGTAAAAATAAATACCACGAAATTTTGTATGAAATATCATATCTCATAGGATTCATATAAAATTTGAGAATAAACAAAAGTAATAGCCTTCTAGCGAAAAAATTAATCTTTAACCACTAAAAATTTCAAAGCAATTGGTCCAGTATTCGAAGAGAAAAGCGACTTTTTAAAAACGTGTCAAAGAACAAGAACAACAACAACAAGAGAGCTATGCTCAAATATATGGACACGTAGAGTCACATAATTTTGATGACGTCATAGCGAAAAAAGAAGTAATAGCCTTCTGGAGAAAATTTTTATCTTCAACCACTAAAAATTTCAAAGCAATTGGTCCAGTATTCGAAGAGAAAAGTGACTTTTTAAAAACGTGTCAAGCTGTACTGAGTTAGCAGTCAGGCAGCATCTTACCTGTACACTGTAGGCCATATACGGTAATTGATCACAGAACAGTTGTTCCCTTGCAAATTTTATGTTGTTTACACTTTAGGACAGATAATTGATCACAGAACAATTCTTCCCTTTCAAATTTTATGTTGTTTCCAGTAGACTCTCATCAAAATAAACAAATATAGTAGGCTACAAGTGCTACAACGCTTGCATTAGTGCACTGGTAGGACCGTGAAAGAATAAGTTACGGTAATTTCATTGTGGTAAGACACCGGTACCGGCACCAGTACCAGTATCGTACTTACGTACTGAGCTACCAGTACCGGTTAGCAGTCAGCCAGCATCTTACCTGTACACTGTAGGCCATATACGGTAATTGATCACAGAACAGTTGTTCCCTTGCAAATTTTATGTTATTTACACTTTAGGACAGATAAATGATCACAGAACAATTCTTCCCTTTCAAATTTTATGTTGTTTCCAGTAGACTCTCATCAAAATAAACAAATATAGTAGGCTACAAGTGCTACAACGCTTGCATTACTGCACTGGTAGGACCGTGAAAGAATAAGTTACGGTAATTTCATTGTGGTAAGACACCGGTACCTGGGTACCGGCACCAGTACCAGTATCGTACTTACGTATTGAGTATATTTTCCGTTCCGCATACGATAGGCTATAAAACTTGCATTGCAGCATTAGTAATACCGCGGAAGGAATAAGTCAATTTCACTGCGTTACGGCACCGGTATGGCAACTTACCAGTACCGACCTACAGTAGCTGTAGTACTGAGCAAGACAATCGATCGCGAAACCGCTTGAAATAAGTGTAAAACAGTGTTCCCATGAGTAAAAATAAATACCGCGAAATTTTGTATGAAATATCATATCTCATAGGATTCATATAAAATTTAAGAATAAACAAAAGTAATAGCCTTCTAGCGAAAAAATTAATCTTCAACCACTGAAAATTTCAAAGCAATTGGTCCAGTATTCGAAGAGAAAAGCGACTTTTTAAAAACGTGTCAAAGAACAAGAACAAGAACAACAACATAATATTGAAACGATCGTTATGTCCACTACGTGTCCAACAACATAATATTGAAACGATCGTTATGTCCACTACGTGTCCAATAAAAACTAATTTAACAGACTGGTGCGCAACATCGCATAGGTACTTTCAACGAGAAAACTCAAATTCGCCAACAATGACGCAATTCGGTTATTAGCGTGACGATATGTTAGAGGTCATACTGAAGATATCGTTATTTGTACCTATTTTGGCGAAAATTCCACAGATACATTTAGCCCGCAATATCGAATAAGATTATCTAAAAATAAAATAGATAGTTTTGGTCAACTTGAAAACCCATGTTTTCAACGTTTAAGCCTTCTCTAACTATTGTAAATTCTAGCCATTGGATCAAAGGATGTTCCAAATGTTAGAGTCGGGGCTTCATATTTCTAATTCACTTCCGGATCTTAGCTTCATAGTATTCCATTTGGTGTGAAAGCAATGCGTCCACGAACATTTCGCTTTCCCTCTTAACGTTGATTGCGGATCACCACCTTAAAAACTATTTTCCCGTCCCGCGCACACAACCCATTTTCAATGAATGGTCAACTAGTGTCGAAATGATCTACCAGAACAAATTTTTTTTCAAACACAGTTTGCGATACATTTTATTAAGATAGAGTATGTTGAAGCACCAGTTCAGATTGTGCTAAGTACGAAATCACAATCACCAATGTTAATAAAATGTCGTGGTTTCCACTCTTCACGTACATATTGTGTGAATTAGCAGCATTATATACCATATTTAGGTAGAGGTCTCTTGTTTAGAATCAGGTTGAACAAAAACGCCTCTCGTCCACGTGAGTAATCGCTGGTAGTGGGGATAGAGCAGTCAACTAAGATTTTAAATTAAACCGAAACATCACGCCATCCACATATCCAACCCTGAAAACAAATAAGGACAAAAGTACATAAAATAAATCCACATGGCCTTGACACTGAAGCGTATAATAGTTAAATAGGCGGGCACACCTACTAGATTTATTTACATTATTACATCATCCCTCAGGAATTTTACAAGATTGAGTAATAAATTTTGATGTCTGGAAATCACATATCTTCGAGTGAGTGATCTGAAATACGCTCAAAAACCAAATCATTAGTATCACACAAAATATGTGAACGGATTTATTATTTTTCTCACATGATAGTTTTTTTTTGACAAGACTGTAGACATAGTGTCTACCGAGTTACTATTGTTATGAAGACTATACGGCCATGATGACTAAGCCAAACACAGAACACAACTAATAATGATAAGTCTAAGGATAAATTCAACTATCTCAGGCCACTCAATATCCATAATCAAACTCATTTGCTTGGGAAAATCAGTCAAATGATATAATGGAAGTATGACACAAACAAATTTCATACCAACAATTATGTTCCTTTTCTCCCAAACCAAATTACATTTCATGAGGTACCGAACCACACCTAAATCTACCGCTTCATTTGAAGTTAGATGATTCACCCATTTTGTCAGCGTTATTATCTGATCTAACATATATTAACAACAACATAATGATGATACATTATCAAAGCCTCAGACATACTAGTATTATCCATACACAACATAGTCAACCATTTATTTGATAGAAAATATGTGGTTACTGTGAATATTAGAATAACCTTTCTTAATAAAAAATAAAAACATGCTATATATTAATGGTCAGTGTAATTTTTTTTTTAATTGAAGCTTTATTCAAGACATTCTTGACTATGAGTAGGAATCTCAAGCATATTATTGAACTTCAAAAGTACCTATATCCAGATAGACTAATATTCTTCCAATCCTTAAAAATGAGTGTGATTTTTACAGTGACACCACACAGCTAAGTCTTGCTAACTAATAAATAGTAAAGTATAGAACAAAAATAAACCACAGATCCAAACGATGGTTAAGATTTTTACACACATATCACAAATCCACTTAAAAATTCAGTTATTGCAATATTTATTCAAATTACAAATGCTTTCAGTCAAAATTTAATTTCCTTATAAGCCAACTTTTTGGATTGACCTAATGGAGATCCGAAAACACAAAAATTAAATAATTACCATTTCCTCATATTATTTATTTCTATATTCCAGTGCCCAGAGTATTGCCATCAAGCTGTAAAAATATGGAAAAATTGCTGAAAAATCACTGAAATCAACGAAAAATACATTTTTCCACCTCACAGATAGGCTTTGTAAAAAGTGAGAGCTATCAATCAGATCATAATTTTGAGTCGATGAGATTTTTTGAAAACAATAAGCCTTTGTTCATCAGCATACATTGCTACTGTTCATACAATGTGGCTGCAAAGCAAAGACTTTATGTTGACAAAATGTTGCTTTTAAATTTATTTATGACAATGATTCTTTTTTATATCTATTAATCAGTGGAAGTTTTTACAGAGCCTTTTTCAAAGCAAAAACGCATAATTACAGATAACCAACATTTTCTGTTATGACACATGCCGTATGAAAATGAAGAAAACGTTCCTTGGTACTACTGTTTTGTCTTCGCTCCTATATATTTTTATTAGTTACTATCTAGATGTGTTCTCGATAACTTCTAGCTTATTGTAGTTTTAAAATCCAGGTTGAAAAAATCAATTCTTCTCAAATCAGTCGTGCCTGTCCAATCAATCTAATTTAAAAAGTAAAACTAGTGAGTGGAACTAGTAAGCATTTACCACTCCAATCACCACCTCCCCCGATTGAACATGTTGTCAAATTTGTATCTGTATCCAGATTTGTACCTTTGCCTAAAAATAAGGCTATATGTTATGTTCATTTTGAAGCAGGATTATCAGAAATCAAATAAATCTCAGCATATTTGAAACCAGGACGTCGAGCCGCGTGATGGATCTAACAGTTACTGAGTTAGGTCAAGCCTATAAAATGTTTCTCATTCTCAACAAAACTTAATTCTCGATGATATGCAGATTAGAAGATACAACATCGTATTTAACAATAAATATTAGTTCCATTGTAATATTTCAATTTATAACTAAGTGCTGGATTATAGAGCAATCTATATAATGATAGTGGGTAGTGATATAAATTACAGGTACAAGTACCCTTCTCTTGGTGGCTCTAGTAGAAGTCTAGTTGCCTCTAGTTTCCTTTTACGGTGAAGATTCACCGATTTGCTTTATTTAAACCTTACAAACTAAACTCTAAATAAAATTGAATTAACATTTCATTACACTTACTATCTTACAGCATGAGCTGGGTAGATTCGATAGAAGGCTTATGTTGTCTAGTCTAACTCCGGTTCTGTTTTATTTTGTGACACGCCTTCCAACATGGCATGTGGAGTGTAAAAAGACTATTCATTTTACCTTAGAAAACTGTATCCATATTGTCTACATCAACCTTTAATTAATCAACCAGGATAGCCCGCTATCAAAACCATCTTTGAAGTTTCCATCTTTTATTTCAGTTGGCATGGGCGCCAAGCCTGACTGAGCTTGAACTCACGTGACTACGATGATCTGTCACATTTCTACGTAAACAAGTCCTAAGTTCTGTAGTGCTTGCCAGATATCGTAGCATACATTCAAAAGTCTATAATGATGTAAAATAAATTTAACAATTTCTTCAATTTTAACTATAAAAAAATTATGAAAGTTGAATAAAGTAAAATACAGTAATACTTCAGGTTTTTTAAATGTTAGTTAACTAGTATTTTTTGATGAACCTTTGATTTTACAGGTTTTATCTGGCAACAGCCTATGTTTACGCATCAATTCACTACTATGGAAAACAAACGAGGACAACATACTGAAGTGAACCCGTTGTTTTGCAGCTCTCGGTGGCCACCGGGCGGATTACGAGTTAAGTAAATATTCAGAACAAAATATAAAAAAAACACAGTTGAGGGAATAATTAAATTCTTAAAAATATTTTTTGACTGGTCGTATGCCAGCACTTATACTGGTTTTCTATTTTTGCCATTTTTATCCAATCAGTTTTGGATGAAATAATTTCGGATGTAAGTAATAAAATTTCAGTTCGACTAAGTTCTCCTTACTGGTTTACAGTATTTAGAAAAAAAAAATACGCAAATAAAGACTAAATTTCATTCAATTAAATTAGCTTTTCTGTTAAAAACTCTCATTATGACATATTTTGTCTAACATCATCACGTCGATCATTTTCGTTTTAGTCACTTAAAACCTTCTCTAAGAGCGCTTTCACGTTTTATTCAAGTTGATATTCATTTATCGAGAACCCTTTGGTTAGGTTAATAATTGATGGCTTCAATATAGATTTCAATTGTAGACACGGCATTCAAGTAGTTTCAACTTATCATCCTCAATTCTTACGAGACAAATAACTGATAGGGAATTGTTGATAGCGTCGGATTAAGTAGTTAAGGTCGCTAGTAGCCAGCTCCAACGAATATCTTGGCAATCACACAGTTTAAAAGTTAAATTGAACGCAGCTTACAAAATCGAAGAAATCACAAAATTTCACTAATTTTAGATTAGGGGATAAAATGGATATAAGAATAAAAATAGAAAATTTCGTCGGTGGAGTTTGATGGAATTTGTATTCCTACTTTGACTTACTGCATATATATAAAATATTTCTTAAAATACAAGTTTCCGTTCAACTTTGGAGAACCATTTGATTAATTCTATTCGATGTTGACATGTTGTATAAATATATTTGAGAAAAGTTGGCGCCAGAAAGATTTGGTTTGGCAAAAGTTGATTCGATTTCAGCACCAGTTAGAGTTTTGAGCAAAACTTTTCATGATTCCACCAGCCCAAACGTTGTGCAATGTAACGTAAAATATTTTAAATCTGGGTTGTTCAACTTACCTTGGTGACTCGACGTATTTCGTTTACAGCGATTATGCTTCATTTCGATTGTTCAAAATTGTCACAACTGCGCAGACGTTCTGGTTATAACAACGCCCAATATCAAACTACTGGTATTTTTATATGCTGATAATAAACAGGAAATGTCTTCTTGTACATCATACAAAAAATGATTTAAATCCAGGAAACGACCGTTGTAACGCATGTACAAAGATCGTCTTTGAACTACGTTTTGGCACAAGATTTATATATTTGTTACAAGTTTTTATATACCCAAAATATATTAACATTTAGTATTTGACTGATATATCTGTTGTTGCAATATCTGTACGCGGATTCACTTCAAGAGCAATTGCTGATCATTAAAAATATGAATCCAAATTTTGCGTATACCTACATCCAAATGATCCCTGTTATGTCATAGAGATAGTTATTAATTACTATACGGTGGTCCCATCGCTGTTCTGTCTTGAACCCTCCTCAGCACTTGCTTCGAAATGTTGCTATTTTCTCTTCAAAATATGTTCATTTTATGAACGAAATGAACGAATTAGAATGTTTCCAATTATTTTAATACGGTCATTGGTGAAACCTATATATGTGATTTATTCGTCCAAAAGAATTCATATAGATAAATTCGAAAATATGAAAAATATTTAGTTATCATTTGCAAATTAACTCAGACAGTACCGGACTATCATTAGGCAAGGCAGATCTAAGCCTGGGGGATTTAATCCTGAACTATTATTTATTTCTGAATTTTCCAAATATAACAGGTTTAGAAATTAGAAAAAAAAAGATATTTGTTCAATTTTTCAAATCAAGTTAATAAATAACTTGTCTCAAATCTTTTACGTTTAAATCATTAATAAAAGAACGGCGGAATAAATAAATGTGTTTAAATTTGAAAACATCTTGGCTTGGTCAGAAGTCGATCTTATTCAAAACACAAATCCCTCACTTAGATTTACCATCGATGTTAGTTTAAAAATTAATCTATGAAAGTTATCTAAAACACAATTTGACAATATCGATACTATGAACTCTATATACTATGCACCGAATCTTATTTAGCATATTTATATAATTTTCAATCAGTAGCAAATGAAAGATATTCTGATGACAAGACTTGTTCATGACTGGGTGCGAAAGATTAAAGTTGGAAGAAAAATTCAAACGCAGGAGGAATCAGTTGCAGATCTCCTTGAAATCAGCAAGCAAAACTAAAATTTTAATCACCGATTGCACTAATCTATACCAAATCCATTGTTAAAAAGGCTTCAAAAAGAGTTCGATCCGTTTTCTTTTGCCCATAAATAGATATTGACTGAATGCATACTCAACATGTAGACCCGCACAAATTGATCATAAACCAGGCGTGATGCAAAAATGTGAAGCAAAATTTAAACCAGGTTCCGAATGATTCTCAATTTGGACCAATGAATATTTTTTTCTTAGAGTTTTATGACACCTCTGATTTTTGAGAATGGTCAATGAAATAAGATGTCACAAACGGCTTGCTGCCTTTATTATTTCCATACAATCTTGTCTCATGGAGCTTTGATTTCTAACATAAATAAGAAAAGCAATTTTTGGAAATATCAATTTCAGTGACATCGTCGGTATAGGTTTATATGAATTAGACGGCGTAAATAGCATTATAAAAACAGGTTTGCCATTCGTGGCTGTTTACAGAATCATATAGATTATTTTCATACTTGGGAACATACTTCTTGTTTGTACCAGTTAATGCAGTCTATTGGTGACAAAGACAAATTTAACTTAATTCTGTTAGTTCATGTAACATTTTGCATGACATGAAAATTAATAGATGTTGACTACATTGTCCGTGGAGGATTGCCTACATTGCGCAAGACGTTCCGTACGTATTACGTTTGAACGGAATATTATTATAAACTCATTGGTTTTTATCCCATATGAATGGAAACGATACATGTGTGATGCAACTTTGCATAATGTGAATGTAGATTCACTTCAATGTGATTTGTACAAGACGATTGCAGGAAATTCCTGAAATAAAAGCGAGAGAAATGTTATTGTAGCAAATGTTATGTATATTTGTCATTATTAAGACAAAAATCAACAGTCATATATGAACATATGACAACAGTCTGGTAGCTATCGCAGGCAGAACGAGGGATGTATCCACCCTTCTTTCCTAACTGCGAAATTAAATTTGATGAGAGTTTACAACAAACAGAATTTGTTGTTAAAATGATATTATGAAACCCATGAGAGATAGAGAGAGAGAGAGATTTATTGATTTGTTAACCAAAACAAACACAAATAAGAACGCATACATACAGATAAATAAACACTTTTTTGGTAAAGACTGGAGGGAGCGATACGGTCATTCAAGTCAGCTCCCCCCAAATGAGTTAAATACAAATTAGCGGCCATCACATGTCACTTATAGTGCAGCCATTGTGTAGGTAAGATTTGTTTGTAACAAAACTGGGGATATCTCATAAAAGTGCTGGTGTCATCGGGGGTGAAAATGGAATTAAAAGAAGCTTGGCGGCGAGGCTAACGTTTTCTAAGTCGAGTTTCTAAACCAGGAGTCGGTGGTAATCGTAGACACAACTGTGTCGTAGTCGCGAGTCATAGTGATTTCATAAGATGACTCTAGTCTAGTTACTTTCATTAATGGGACTCGAGTCCATCTCGAGACGAGTCAATGATTTGAGCCACCCCAACACTGGGGACTTCTACGACACGCTTTGATGCAAATGTAACCGTTTCGCAATACATAACTGCGGTTAAGGGCAAGCGGGTTCTTGTCTAGAATTAGTCAAGCAAACAAAATCGCGGTTCAAATGGGGTTGTTTTCCCTGTTCATTTGCAAGGAAGACCACGTGCCATTCACCCCCGTATCACGCCGCGACCGTTATTGCTGTTTATCATATATATACTACACAGAAAGTCTTAGTGTTGTAATGTTGAGCATTTAAAAAGCACACTGGTAACCTAAATGATCAGACAGCACTGGTGCGGTATACTTAGTTTAAGATCATTCGGGCCAGGGCTGCGGAAAGGGGGGATATTTGCAATCGACTCCGACTCCGGATTTCAAAATATTTTGGTTCCGACTCAGGCTGTAAAAAGTTTCTACCTCGACTCCATCTCCGAACGTCAAAAAATCAAATTTTAATGTCGAAAACTGTGTCAGACGCAAAGTTTCTCTATTAGACTGTTAAGGATGCTTTTTTTTTGCAGGTTGTTCTCCCTGTTCATTTGCAAGGAAGACCACGTGCCATTCACCCCTGTATCACGCCGAAACCGTTATTGCTGTTTATCATATATATACCACACAGAAACCTTTCTCTGAAGTCTAGTGTTGTGTTGAGCATTTAAAAAGCACACCGGTAACCCAAATGATCAGACAGCACAGGTGCGGTATACTTTAGGACCATTCGGACCAGGGCTGTAGAAAGAGGAAATATTTGCAAACGACTCCGGGTTTCGAAATATTTTGGTTCCGACTCAGGCTGTAAAAAGTTTCTACCTCGACTCCATCTCCGAATGCCAAAAAATCAAAATTTAATGTCGAAATTTGTGTCAGACGCAAAGTTTCTCTATTAGACTGTTAAGAATGCTTAGTAAAACTCAATGCTTCTAATGTTTTAGCAGAAAGTTTAGACTTTTTTATCACCAATGAAAGTCTGCAATATTGAAAAATGATAGACTAGAATACTAGATAGTTTATGCCACAACTTCTGTGGTGTAAAGAATTTGTTATTTCGTCAATGGGGTTCGAAAAGTCTTTTGCTTTGTTGTGCAGAAAATCACCATCATCTATTCTCCAGTTCTCGTAATCTTTTAGCGTATCTGCGGTTAAGGGCAAACGGGTTCTTGTCTAGAATTCGTCAAGCAAACAAAATCGCGGTTTAAATGGGTTTGTTTTGCCTTTTCATTTGCAAGGAAGATCACGTGCCATTCACCTCCGTAATCAAGCCGCGACCGTTATTGCTGTTCATCATATATATACCACACAGAAATCCCTCTCTGAAGTCTAGTGTTGTGAAGTTGAGCATTTTAAAAAGCACACTGGTAACCCAAATGATCAGACAGCACAGGTGCGGTATACTTTAGGACCATTCGGACCAGGGCTGTAGAAAGAGGAAATATTTGCAATCGACTTCGGGTTTCGAAATATTTTGGTTCCGACTCATGCTGTAATAAATTTCGACCTCGACGCCATCTCTGAACGCCAAAAAATCATATTTCAATGTCGAAAACTTTGTCGAACGCAAAGCTTCTCTATTAGACTGTTAAGAAGGCTTAGTAAAATTGATGCTATTAGAGTTTTAGCAGGAAGTTTTGACTTTTTTTTATCACCAATGATGATCTGTAATTCTGATTTTAAAAATTCAATATTTTGACTCTTACTCTTGGAAGTTTGAAAATACGACTCGGGCTCCGACTGTATAGGCAAAAATGACAGACTTCGAGTACATTCTAGAGTTCTCATTCATCAAATCAACTATCAGAAGTAAGCCGATCAAGCCGGTTTAGTGCCTGGGTGAGAATTTCAAATTACTTTTTGCATTGCATTGAGTTTTGTGTCAGAATATAATTGCATTTGAATATCCATAATGTGGCGCCTATACTGATGGACAAATTTAGAACTACGGTGGATTGGTTTATTCAAAAATCCGATATTCGAAACATACATATATATATGAACATGTATGACGATAGAATAAAAAATGAGGATGAACCTCTATGCCAAGTATACAAAGCAACCCTATCCAGTCCGATAACATAAAATAGTATTCTCGAATATTTTCTGCAATCAATAAAACAATTTGAAATATCGTATATGCCTTACAGTTTCCCGTCAGTGCAAATAGAAAGATATCTTCTCGAAAGAAGACGATTCTATTGGCCGAATTTAGTGGGCGTTGCTGATACGGAACTAAGGGGGATATGTCACGTTTACCTTTCGCTCGTCACGCGAATATAAAATCTAATTTATCTATTTTCGAAGTGTACATCGGGGTGTGCAACGGGCGGCCAGCGCGTCATAACCTAGCCTGCCAAGGCATTTAGTGTGACCCTTGTCAACACTCAGATTTACCCATTA